TTGTGGGTCATGAGGATTATCAGTGAGCAAAGCAGATAAAGATCCTGCCTTTTGGTGTTTACGTTCTAGTGGGGGAGACAGAAAATAAGCGAGATGATAAACAAAATATGTAGTATATTTGATAGCAATAAGGCTGTGGAGAAGAAAATACAGCAGGGAAGGAGGATGTTCTGGCAGCCAAGTGCAGATGCATCTAGTCTGTTTAAGGAGTAGAAAGGAGGCATCTACTGTGAGGCACTTGAGGAGACCAGTTTGGTTGGGGCAGAGTGAATGGGGAGTAGAGTAGCTGAAGATGAAGAAAAAGAGGTGACAGGGGGACCAGATCATGTTGGGCCGTGGAGGTCATGGTGAGTTTGTTGGCTTTTACTCTAAGAGAATGGGAAATTACTGGAAGGCTTAGAGAGGAAGAGCAACATGGTCTGACTACACTTCGCAGACTCTCTTTGGCTGTTGTGTTGAGACTACATTGAAGGAGTCAAGAGCAGAAGCAGTGACCAATAAAGGGGAAACAGTGATTGTAGCTTAGACCAGGATGGTGGTAGTGGGATGGTGAAGTGCGGTCAGATTCTAGATATATTTTGTAGGTAGATTCCATAGGATTTTCTCACAGACCAAATGTGCGATGTAAGAGAAAGAGACACATTTTTGGCCTGAGCAATTGAAAGAATGGAGTACCCAATTATAAGATAGGAAAGACTGCTAGAGGGAGCAGGTTTAGGGAGAAGACACATATCAGGAGCTCAGCTTTGGGTAGGTTAAGTTTGTGATCCTTGTTTGGTAGATGTCTAGGTAGAGATTTAGAATTGTGAAAGTCTTTGGTCGCTTTGACAGAGCAGTGTTGGGGGTGGATAAGGAGGGGCAGAAGTTTTATTAGAGTGGATGCAAGAGAGAATAGGAGTAAGGACATTGGAGACTAAGTAAAGATAATGCTTTCAAGAATGTTTGCTGTGAGGGAAGAAGACGAACGAGGCTGGAGGAAGAAGTGGGGTCAAGAGGCTCTATTTTTAAGATGGGCGAAATGGCAGCATGTTTGACTGCTGATGGCATGGAGCCTGTAAGAAGGAAAAACTAAAGATGGAGCAGAGATGCAAGAACTGCTGAAGCGGTGGTGCTTTTTTGAAAATGGCAGCTGGAGCTTTTTCCGTGCTTGTATTACAGTTACTCTAAAAGGTCACTTTACTCTAGCAATCAGCACATGTTTAGTTTTTATCAGTTGAAAGGCCGATTGTATTAAGTATTTAACAAATTTAGACCTCTATAATATAATTTCCTCTCAAATTGTGCAGAATCCACTAGGTTAAACTAACGTGAGATTTTTATGAAAGATGAAAATAAATCATTCAAAAACTTTAATAAAAAAATATTTGTGTTGTGTTCCTCATACTCAAGACTTTTCTTACGCTAGCATTCTGAAATGCATCAAGAGAATATTTGGCAGCTATTGGGAATTTAGCAAAAATGCTCTCTGTTTCATATGTTTAAATCATTAGACTAGTTTTGACCACAATTACTTTAAGCAGTTGATAGACCTAAAACTTACATATGAAGCAACTTTCTGTATAAATTAATTCCCTTTTAGTGCATGTAGGATGTACATTGGAAGTTTTCCTATGGCAAGTTATTTTGTAAAATAAAATTTTATAAGCAGCAAAGACTTATTTTCAAATATTAGATATATCTTATGCCAATTTCACTTATATAGCTTTTTGAAATTGAGTTTTCTTTTTCATGAAACTAGTTTATAAAGTTTAATTGGTAGATGTGTCTCTCATTCTGTATAGGATGAGCATGAAAATCATAGCATTTGAAAAGTAGGTAGAGGGTTTTTTTCTACCTGTTGTAATTCCTTTATGTTTTTTGCTGACTGAATAATTATTTTTCCTAAATCATAGATGTTTCATTTGACTAGAATATAGATAGCCATTTCAAAAGGTAAATTCATGTGTTTTTATACTGTTGGTGCACAGCTGGTGTTCAGTAAATTGATCTCACATTTAGATATTGTATTTTATCATACATATGATATATACATGTGCTACTGTAATAATACAAAAAAAAAAAAACCATTGCCAGTGAGTCAATTCCGACTTATAGTGATCCTTTAGGACAGAGTAGAGCTACCCCCCTAGGGTTTCCAAGGAACAGCTTGTGGATTCCAACTGCTCAGCTTTTGGTTAGCAGCCCAATACTTAACCACTGCGCTACCAGGGCCCCTAAAAAACCCAGCCATTGCAGACGAGTTGATTCCGACTCCATAGCACCCTGATAGGACAGAGTAGAACTGCCCTCATGGGGTTTCCAAGGAGTGGCTGGTGGATTCCAACTGCTGACCTTTTGTTTAGCAGCCTGAGCCCTTAACCGCTGAGCCACCAGGGCTCCATCATAATAATAGCTCCCATTTACTGAATTTTTATCATGCTCCACACAACTGTGAAGGTACCCTACATATTCCCTCATTTAATCCTGGGTGGCACAAATGGTTTGCACTTGTCTACTAACCAAAAGGTTGATGGTTTGAACCCACCCAGTGGCGCCATAGAAGAAAGGCCTTGCAATCTGCTTCCATAAAGATTACAGCCAAGAAAATCCTATGGAACAGTTCTAGTCTGTAACACATGGGTTCTCCATGAGTCGGAATTGACTGGACTGCAAATTGCAATTGACTGGATTTGGTTTTGGTTTGGTATATAAGTTAAGTTTTTATTATCCACGTGTTTAGGAAACAGAGGCTTACTGAGGTCAGGTAACTTCCTTTGGGCAGAATAGAGTCTACTTTAGAAGAATCTGAAAGTCAGCTTCTCTTTGGCTCCTGCCTGGCGGCTTGGAGCCCAGGAGTTGGCAGCTGGTCCGGTCTCTCCTAGCTGTTGCCCAGGTCTCTGGACCCAGCCTGGCTTGGAAGTGAAACCTGAGCATCAGCAGCAGTCGACAAATTCCCTGAGGGAAATCCTAGGATCTGAGGTAGACTGGGAAAGATGGCGGATCAATTTTGCTCTCTTTCCCTTTAGAGCTTAGTGTGTGCTCTCTGTGACTAATAACTTTAGAAGTAGCGGAAGTCCATTATAAACTGAATTCTAGGTGACAGGATTTGAATAGTGTCTTTACAAGTTATATAAAGTCTGACATTTGAGGTGAATCTTTATTCATGGCTATAATTCTATGAAACAATAAAAAGGTTGGCAGCTGATGTCAAAGACAAACTGTCTACTTGATAGTTTGCATTTGGCTGTTTCTGGCATAGCATTGGCTTGTGTGAAGTGTGAATACCGTGGAATCACTTTATTGTACCACTGAGGCTTTACTCTTAACTTTGTTTTTTTCTAGCTCATCTTTGAGGTAACCTTCTATTTCCATTTAATTTCAGTTTGTACATTTTTTTTTTTTCCCAAACCAGATTATAAACTTGCGGTATTACCCTATGAAGTTCAGGCCTAATAGGATATATAGGGCTTATAAACAGGTAATATACAAATATTTAAAATTTATCCTCCTTTTTTGCTATATTTTTATATAACATAAGGCTCACTAGTGTGTTAAGTCACCACCAACATCATTTTTATACCAAAGTTGCATTTTAATAGGTGATTATTTCAAGATTTACTTTGGGCCCAAAGGCTAAATCTAAAAAATATAGCAAAATAATAATTTATGATTTTTTTTTTTTTTTTTTTGCTTTCCAGATCATGTCAGAGTAATCTCAACTTTCTTTAATTACTGGATTACACATATTCTTCCTCAGAGAAACAGTGAATAAAATCAGTATATCTAAGAAGAGTTAAAATTTAACAATACAAAGGAAATATGAAGTGGGCTGAGACTTAATTCCTGTGTATGAAGATGATGACATTCCCTATTTTTTCTTTGAAACCCGAAACCTGTGAACTTTGAAGACGTGTACCATATTATTTATTCATGTGTTTGTACATAGTGGGTCAGGTGTCATCTGAGACTTCAAATGAAAATTTGGGTAAAAATGAAAACTTTTTTCACTTATTTGCAATTGTAAATGTCTTGAATTAGTACATAGAGATTCTGTTTTTCTAATTCTAAAAATTGAAAATGGACATTCTGTTAAATTGAATAAACTATATAGTTTGAGGCTGTTATATTTTTGTAAAGTTTTAAATCACCTTGTATCAGAAAGTCTGCATTTTAAGAATGCTTTATGGAAATTAAAATGTTCTGGTTTAAGTACTTTGATTACAGTTGAATTTCTTCTTTTTCCTCCCTCTTCTCGACTTTGAGAATAAAAATTGTTTTTTCCTGTTTGACCTTTCTTTTCATCTTGGAAGCGGCCACTGGTTTCCACTCTTACTGTGTTTTGAAGACACCGTTCCATTGGTACGACTTTTTAGGAGGGTACTGGCTCTGTCCATGAAAATTTTTAAATGTGCATACTCTTTAGTCCATCAGTTTGACTTTTAAGATTTTTATCCTAAGGAAAAAGTCACACAAAGGTGCAAAAACAGAGGTGCTTCTTGGAGCATTGTTAGTGTAAAAAAAAAGGAAACCACCTAAATGTTTAACCTAGAAGGTTAAACAAATTATAAAATATTCACAACATGCAATAAGGTGCTGCTTTTAAAATAAATGAGATACTTCCATGGAAAGATGTTTATGACAAATTGTAAAGTGGAAAAAGAGTATCCTAATTTTTGTAGAATTTTAAAATGACCTTAATGTACATGGATGGGTAGACCCTTTCCTTTAGAGACTGTCTCAGCATAGCAGCCAGAGTGACCCTGTAACCATAAGCTGACCTGTGTCTCCTCAGCGCCCTCCATGTCCTCCTACCGCAGAGTGAAAGCCAAAGGCGTCCCTATAGCTAAACTTCATCACGACCAAAGCAGAAAGAGAAATGCCATCGCTTAGGTGAGCACAATGTCCTTAAGATAAAGAACCACCAGTTGTTAATGAGATGTACAGCCGTTCTTGGCGCTGAGACCAAATAGGAGTTGACCAAGAAGACGGCAGTCAATCTAGTGAGTAGCCTTATATGGCTGAAGGTGGTTTGTGGAGTCCTTTTTCAAAACACTGGTCCTCAGTGCTCAGGTGCTGGCATGTACCTACACCCCTCCCCCCACCAAAATAAATAAATACACCAAACTCGTTGCCATCGAGTCAATTCCAACTCATAGCGACCCTATAGGACAGAGTAGAACTGCCCCATAGGGTTTCCAAGGAGTGGCTAGTGGATTCAAACTGCCAACCTTTTGGTTAGCAACCGACCTCTTAACCACTGCGCCACCAGGGCTCCGGCATGTACCTAAGGGCAGGTCAATGAGAGAGATGCCCCAAAGTCCAGTGAGGGCCCAGCACCGTCCAGCCCTGTGCTTATCTGCATCTGTGTGGCCTTCAACCAGTTTGCCTTGAATACTTCTCACCCAAGATACCTTTTTATTACTTATTTCTCTCTCGACTCTACCCACCCCTACCCAACGAACCCTCTTTATTTTTATCCAGGTGATTCAAAGTGATACAAGTTCATGGTTTAAAAAAAAAGTATGTGAGGATTGTATTAAAAGATTTCCCACCTTACCCCTACTTCCAGATTCTATAGAGAAGCCACGTTTAGGAGTTAGTATTTTTAATTCTTCTGATGGTTGCCTCCATGGCTGAATCATACTGTATCCATTGAGTTCCATCTCGAAAGGGTGAGGCTTTAATCATAACTACTGTCCATCCCCCAATATTTTACAGTTAGATTATTTTAGCTCTTGTTGTGTGCCATTGAGTCTATTCCGACTCATGGCGACCCTGTGGGATGGGGTAGAACTGTCCCATAGGGTTTTCTAGGCTGTAATTTTTATGACAGCAGATCACCAGCTCTTTTCTCCCAGGGAGCAGCTAGCGGGTTTGAACTACCAACCTTTTCAGTTAGCAGCCGGGTACTTAACCGCTGCGCCATCCAGGGCTCCTTATTTTAGCTCTGCTCTTGTTATATTGGAGCCCTGGTGGTGAAGTGGTTAAGAACTACAGACGCTAACCGAAAGGTCGGTGGTTTGAATCCACCAACCGCTCCTTGGAAACCCTATGGGGCCGTTCTACTCTGTCCTATAGGGTCGCTGTGAGTCGAAATCAACTCCATGGCAGTGGGTTTTCTTGTTATGTTAAATAATATGCTTCAGTCCTTTGAAAATACCTCCGTTTCTGCACTGTGCCTCCCCTCTTGGCTTTCCCTCACCTCTCCTCCCTCCTTTGCATGTCCCATCTGTCTGCTGTATTTTCAGTTTGTCATAGTTGATAATGATCACACTCTGGTCAATAATTAACTGAAATTATTCTTCTTCTGTCTATAGGCTGACTTTAAAATGTTGAAAGCAATAAAAAGCACTGCCCTTGTAAATACTGTTCAATCCAAGGCCCAGAAGTAAGATCAGATGACAGCTTTTTGTTGGTGGGTTTTATATCACTATCCGAGCCACTGAGCAAGAAATACTCCTGGGACGGAGGTCTCTTCGACATGCTCACGTGTTCAGAATCATGCCCCATGTTTGTGTGTTTGCTTCATATTTGAACTGTGACTTGTCTGTACAGTGTTTAGACTCTTCCCTCTTACTCCTACTTGCCATTAGTGGCACCAATAGGCTGTGAAGTAATCACTGTCACCGTCTCGTTTATGCCCATGCTGTCTCAGTTACCTAGCGCTGCCCTAACAAAATATACCACAAGTGGGTGGCTTCAAAGAACAAAAATTTATTTTCTCACAGTGCTGGAGGCTAAAAGTCCAAACCAGGGTGTCAGCCATGTTGGTTCCTTCTGCAAGTCTCTCTCCTAGTTTCCGGTGACTGCCGGCAATCCTGGGGATTTCTGGGCTTGTAGATTCATCTGCTGCCGTCTTCACATAGCAGTTTCCCCTGGTGTTTATCTATTCCGCCCTTTTTATGAGACACCGCTTAGAAGGGGTTAGTTTAGGAGCCTCCCTACTCCAATGTGGTCTCATTAACAGAAGCAGACGCCTATTTCACAACAGGGTCATGTTTACAGGTACGGAGGTTAAGACTTCAACATTTTAGGGGGGGATGCAATTCAATCCATAGCGCACGTGGAGTAGCTGTCTGGTAAAACAAATAAGAAAGCCTGACACAGGCAGTGAGGTTGATGTGCATTTCCCTGAAAGGCAGTAGGTTCTGCAGTGCCCAGATATTTCTCAGGCCAAAAAAATTCAGTAACAAACCCCTTTTTAATAATCCAAACCCTTTGGCCACTGCATAAGACACTTTGATACTTCTCCCGAAAGCAGAGGTAGTGATACCGGATATAACACCACTCCAAATGTACGTAGAGCTGTTCTCCCAATACCTTTTATGTTGGAGAGGGCCATAACCACTCAACCAGGAGTGGCATGTAGTTCAGCCTCACCTGGACCTTCTTTCCCACAGGGTAGGACTCCAATACATCATTGATCCTCTCGTTCTTTTGGATGCGATCAATGTAAGCACACAGCAGTCCACCTCAATCTCCTCTGTTACCCTACTGCCTCCTTTTTCATTGATTTAACTTTCTTTAAACTAAGCTTGTCTTGTTTTCTGTGTCCAATAAAAAAGAGCACCTTTCTGATCAAGACTTGTAAGCACTGTTTCTTTTCTCCTGAGGCTTCTAATTTCCTTCTTAATTGATGTGCGTTCTTGTTTTTCTCTAAATTTTCCAGCATGAGACTCATGACCACTATTGAATCTACTTTCCTCCCAGTAACACGCCTTCTTTGACCGTTTGACCTACAGTAAAAAATAAATAAAAAACATTCCCGAGAGGTTGATTCCAACTCATAGCAATCCTATACGATAGGGTAGAACTGCCCCATAGGGTTTTCAAGGAGCAGCTGGTGGATTCGAACTGCCAACCTTTTGGTTAGCAGCTGTAGCTCTTAACCACTGCATAACCAGGATTCCTTGGCCTGCAGTAGGGAACTGTTATTCTCATAGCCCTCTACACAGTTTCACCTTGGAATTTCCCTTTAGTGCTAGTAGTTTCTTGGGTAGAAGCACTCTACGGGGTCTGGGGTCTCTACCACCTACCTGCTTCATTGTTTTGCACTCTCATTTTACTGCTCAAATGACTTCCTTAGAAATGGCACATGGGAAATAAATGTTTGGGGTCATTGAATGTCTGAAAATGCCTGTATTCCACTCCAAGTTTAATTTATCATTTGGCTGGACATAAAATTCTAGATTGGGTTTATTTTTCCTCAAAATTTTAAGGTAGTTGCTCTAATTATCTTCTAGCATACAGGGGGGTTGATGAGAAGTCTGATATCAACCTAATTTTCAACACTTTGTAGATGAACTGTTTTTTTTTCCTCACTGACATCTGTTAGAATAAAAACCAACCAAACCCGTTGCCATCAAGTCGAGTCAATTCCAATCATAGCAACCCTATAGGACAGAGCAGAACTGCCCCATAGGGTTTGCAAGGAGTGGCTGGTGGATTTGAACTGCCCACATTTTGGTTAGCAGCCGAACTCTTAACCACTGTGCCACCAGGGTTTCCACTGTTAGAATAGTCTTTAAATTTTTGTTGTTAGTTGCCATTGAGTTGGCACCAACTCATGGTGACCCCATGTACAACAGAATGAAATGTTGCCCGGTTCTGAGCTATCTTCATGATCACTGGTATCGTTATCTAAAGAATAGTCTTTAGATCCTTAGTTTACTGAAATTCTGTGTGTGACTGGGTACAGGCCTTTTCTGTTTTCTTCTAGGCACTCAGAGGACCCTTACGTTCTGAAAACTTGTCTCCCTTTAGCACAATGAAAACGTCTTGATTTCTTTGCTAACTCCTGCCACCACCACCACCACCACCACAATTTTCCGTCTACATTCTTACTTGTTTTCTTAACATGTTTATTGATTTATTTCATCGGTTATAGGTTTTAATTTCCAGAGTTTTTTTTTTCTTCTTTGTAGTATTCTCTTCATTTATAGATGCCATATCTTTCTAAATCTCTCTAAAAATCTTCATTATCAATCCATTTTCTGCTGCCCTTGGCACCTTCACTCTACACTTGAGGCCAAAGCCTCACTAGTGTTCTGCTGGAAAATCGGCTCCCGCTGCCACTTCTGCCATTTTGTACCTTTACTCTGACTTCTGACTTCCTCTGTTGAATGATCCATCAGTATCCTTCTATATGCTTCCCATCTTCAAAGACATAGTTAATATCTCTCATTCATTGATAAAACCCCCACCCAAATCCCTATCTTTTCCATTCTCTTGGCTGCTATGGGTTCATTTCCTTTTTCACATTCTGTCATTTCAATGAGACCTGAAGGATTAGAGGAGGGATGGTGTTTGCTGGATGTGTAGATTCTACCATCTTGAATCAGAACCTCTGACAAATTCTGAGGAATAGTGAATTTGAGATGTTACCTGG